TCTCTTTCTCTGTCTCTGTCTCTGTCTCTGTCTCTGTCTCTGTCTCTGTCTCTGTCTCTGTCTCTGTCTCTGTCTCTGTCTCTGTCTCTGTCTCTGTCTCTGTCTCTGTCTCTGTCTCTGTCTCTGTCTCTTCCTCACACACCACGTTTCGGAGTTCACAGCACTTTGTCGACAGGTGCTTCTCTTGGTTTTCGGTTGAAGTCCAAGACACCTTACGATATGTGAGGATACCTAAGTCCAAAACTCGCCTGAAGCCCTAACGGATAGTGTGCATACAGTTCCCCAGGTTGTGAATGTGCCAGGTGAAATGACGATCTCGGTGGCGGAGGCTTCAGATCCGGCGGTGAAGGAGGCAAGCCCACGTGCATCATAAATTACGAAACAAGTCCAAGGTAACGGATGCATGTCGCTTTATAGAAGATAAATCAGTCTGAAAGTCTTGCGGATGCGTAGCTGATGTTCTGGACGCAGGGGTCGGTTCAGGTACATTTACTACCTCCTGAGAAGCCTGAGGATGTTATCGTTTTTGTTCGAAGTCGTCCAGGGCTTCAGGTGTGTGTGTGTGTGTGTGTGCCTATATGTGCACTGAGCCCCGACGGTGTCATGGTGAAATCAGGAGGACGTGAACTCCCGCTTTCACCGAGAGAGCACTAAAGCACCCCTGAACTCGCCCAACTTCTCCTAAGCCAGCGCTCTAACACACAAGTTTGCAGGGCCGCCGGCTGTTGTACGCCGGCTGTGAGTCCTTGACGACACTGTTCAATGTCACACCCAAGGAGGCCAGGCAGAGCAACGGAGAATAGTTGCGCAGCTGGGCTCGAGAAGGGTGCAGGTTGCCGGAGTAAGCAAATGAGATACTGTACATACACGTCTTTTCATGATGCACCCTTGTACGCGGGCACATTCTGTGCAGAAGTACATAAATCAAGTAGTTGAACTTATGCATGCATACAGAAACCACTAGACGAATAGACACACGAATAGTCAAACGCAGCAAACAAGTAAGCAAACAACTCAAGATAAATGAGTAAATTTGAATACATAGTTAAACAAGTCAACGACAAGACAAACAACCAACCAAGCAAACAACCAACAAACCGACCGACCGACCGAGCAGGCAAGCAAACGAGCAATCAAGCAAGCAAGCAGGCAAATAAACAAGCAAACAAACAAACAAACCAATCGCAAACAAACAAACGAACAAGCAAGCAAATTACATAAATGATTACATAGATGATCAGTCACATAGATAATTACATAGATCATCAGTAAATACTGCTAGAATGCCAGAAGCCCTCAGAACTCAACTCACGTTCATGTCGCAGGACGGCTCCCCCCTGGATTTCTTCAAGGTCCTGACGAGCGGGGTCGTTCGTGCGCGTTTGACGCCAAATGTATGAGTTTCGTAACGCTGTGCCATGAACGGTCAAAAAACGGGAGCCCATCCGCTCACGTTGTTTGGATTAGGGACTCGTATCAGATGTGAGCTTCTTTGCTGTGAAGTTTCTTGAACTTCACCCTCCAGCTGCAGTGTCGTCAAGAACTCGAGAACTGCAGAGTCCCGACAAAGTGTTCACGAGCCAGGCGAAACCTGAGCAGCTTCAGCTGTTCGAGCCAGGCGCCACGGCTCACGATGCTCACGTCCGAGCCGAGTGGTTTAGACGTCGAGAGAGACGGCAAGCGAATGTGCCGAAGCCTCAAGCTGGTGTCTTTGCAGGTGCCCTGGTTGAGATCAAGGCAGACGAGAAAGACAAAGACAAGTCCATGGAGGTGAAGGCCGGGCGGTTGGTCGGAGAAGCTCAGGAGGAGGATTCCTTCCGATTCCGACCGGCTCAGGGTCTCTTAGAGCATGAACGAAATTCCTCCCTGCCGGATTTCAGACTGCAAGACAGCGAGGTCACAGCCGACCTCGGCATCACCTGCAAGGGCCTCCCCGACAAACCTGCCTTGGCCTCACCTTTCGAATGCCCACATTCCAGGATGAAACGCGCTTCCTTGAGCCAAGAAACGTCAACTTGAGGCCGAAACTGTGACCGGTGCTGAGAACCCCTCCACGCAGTCTATGCCATGCGTATCGCCAGAGCTTGTGGGAGGCGGGGGTCCGCTGAGCCCTATGGCGAGACATTCAATTGAGAGTTGATTTGGGTGGTTGGTGGATTCCGAGATTGGTTCGAGGCTTCGGTAGTTCCCGTGTCCGACCATTGAAAATATTGAAAATTATTGAGTATGCAACTGCCCCATGCCATGCTGGCTGTTTGCCAACCGCCGGCTGAGTGTTCACGAGGTATCTGCAAGACCTGTTCCTTTAGAACCCCTCTACTGCCGACTGACTGGGTCTGAACCGGGACTCGACGTTGAGCAGGCGGGGTCAACACCACGCTGTACTCTTGCAACCGCGCAGCTCGTTGCCCAGAGCTTCCATTCAGCCAGTACTGGGTACACTGGGTACCTTGCATTTATTCGGACTTCAGTTAGACTTTATGTAGTTTGAGCAGGTCTGCAAGTAGAGTTCCTCCAGCATCCCCTGCATCCCTGCACCGACCAAACCCTTCATCCTTTGCCTTTCAGTGTCAACAATGAAGCCCGAAACTTCCAAGCCTTCCTTTGAATCCAAAGCAGTGCACCCAGCGTCCAGTGCGCCGTGCTGGTGGCTTGTTTCCGAGGTTGTCTGAAACCTTGGATTAGAAACATCGAAACCATAGCCCTCAATTCGAGAGTTGTGTTAACTTTCTCCGACATTGCAGTGCCTTATCCCTTCGCTTGTTGCTTCGATCCTTTTTGCACTGAAACTTTTGAACACTAAACCGGATGAATCTACAACCCTAACCCCAGACGAAAAGCGAGGGGAACTGATTTCCCCAACAGCGCAGCCGCGGGCAGCCACGGGCCCTTTGGCCCAGGCCTGGTTCGACCCGGGCCTCGGGGCCGGCAAGTTCCGCCTGGCCCCTGTTGGCTCCGATAAAACCATAAGTCGGGATCGCTTCTTGGTGAGCTTGGCGGATCTTGGTGCTTTCTTCGGCATTCGGGCCTTTATGTCACGGCTTAGACACCGGTCCAGTCGGCGCGCAGGAAGTTTCTTTGCCAGGGTTTGGAACAAAGCCATTTTTACCCGCATTATCATGGCATCGCTGAAGGCCATGGCTTAGAGTCTCAGACCTTATACGCTTAAGGCTTAAGCCCATCAGTTCGGAGCCCATCAGTTCGGTGCCCAGGTCCCGACCATGTGGCGAACTATGTCGAGTTAAAACTCTCCTCCTTGACATTCCCAATCTCCGACAAGTGGAGCGATGCAGAGGCACCTGCATGGAGGGACGAAAGGTTGCTTTTTCAAGCCGGGTATCCAGGGCTCAGCCTCACATCAACAGCAGTAGCAGCAAGAGCACCGGCACCAGCAACCAGCGGCAGAGCAGCACTTGCCAACCTCCCCTTTCTGCACCAGCACCCGTGGTGGCGGCCACAAGCCAGGCGAAGTCCATGTACTACGTGCGAGCTCGAGTCTGCGGTGTCGCGGTGACCAGTACCGTCGCTGGCCTCAGATGCATTCGTGGCGAGTTGAAACAAGGCACTTGACGAAACAATACCACACTGTTTTCCTCACCGTTGGAGTAATTTTTCGGTTAGTGTACTGTAAGTGGCTCACGTGAGAGCTCGCCATGCAGCGTTCCCGTACTGCGTTTCTCATGTTTGTAGCATGCACTCTCTTCTCAGGACCTGTCAGGATGCATGGCTTCTTTTTGATTTGGGAGTTTCCGAAAACAAGGGGTACCTTATTTTGGGGTCCTTAAATAAGGATCCTATTATTTAGGGTACTATATTAGGGTCCCCTATTTTCTGAAACCCCCATTTGTCTTGGCTACAAGAGCCAAGCATGCTTCAGTGTTCTCGCATCCGAGGCTCTCCACCGGCCAAATCCGGTCTGGTCCAAGGTGTTGGGTGCTGAGACGGTCATTCTTTTCATTTTCTGTTTGCCGCAGTTCCCCTGTCCGAGCTTTCGATATCAAGAGCTGCCGTAAGCCTGCAGGCGAGTTGTAGGTTGCACTTTCACTCTGCACCCTCCGCTTTGCTTTGGCATTGGGTTCTTCAGGCTTCCGTCGCATCTCGTGGACCCCAGCCAGATCCGCTTCGAAGGTCTGCGTTCCTGTGTGCCGGGCTTCTTTTGGGCGTTGAGTGCTGCGGGTGGCTGCTGTGTGTGTAACGTTCCCTGTCTGTGTGTGTGTGTGTGCTGGCGTTGCTCGGTGGGGGGGGGGCTGCGGGAGTCTGTGGAAGCTGAACGCCACAAATTATCCTAGGACAATTCTAGTTTTCTCAGGGTCGGTTCTGCACAAGTCTCCCGTCGCATCTGATCATGGATCGGTTTTAGGGTTTTGGGGTTAGGCTAACATTGCTTCTTTCCCAACAGCAGCCGTTCCCGAATCCGCCTCGGACCAGAGCTGATCCATTCGGCCGTGCACAAGTATGCATCCACTACCATAAGGTCATGAATCGGAGCACGATGTCGATGATGCTTGTGATGATCATGATGGTATGATCGATATCGATGGTAACCGCGAGTCTGATGTGATGCAGGGTCAGCACCGGAACTAGAGCTCGATCCTCACCAGGCCAACAGCTGCTTCTCCCATTGCCAGCTGGATGCTGGGCTGGTGACGACCCGGAACGCACAGAGATGCGGAAGGTCCGCATTGAGGCCTCTCGCCTGGACTGTCGGCAGCTGTACGTGTCGACTACGCTTATGCAGCTTATGCAGCGCAGTCTGCATTGTGCCAGGTTGTCAAGGCAAGCTACAAGGACAGTGGGTCCGTCCTCGACTTCGACAGCTTCGCCGGCACAGCAGGAGCGGCACCAAAGAACACATACTCCGAGAAGGTGGTCTTCAAGGCGAGCCTCGGCAAGTCGGGGAGTACTGCGATGCCAGCGATCCTTCCAGTCGAGCCACCACAGAAGCTTACCTCGGACAGGCATGCTGCACGGCATTTGTTCATTATCGTCTAGCGACAAGACAGCTCATCTTCATGCATCTACGTGTGCTTGCGTAGCTTTGTGCATGTGTCTCGGGGTTGGCTGAATGCGCATTAGACCCACGTGCAGAAACGGGCTGATGAGATAGAGACAGGGAAAGGCCCTCCTGTCCCCATGCCTTCTGTTACCAAGTGCTAGGTGTTGTGAGCATTCCTTTTGACATTGTGACATTCTTGGTCTTGTTCTGCTGCGAGCTTCTTTGCATGTCTCGTTGATGCAGCTTTTTTTCGCCCTAGTTAAATTTTGCTGCGAGGCTGCTCTGACATTCGACAATCACATGTGTGGCCCCCAGCATGCTGCATTTTTTCAGGCGGGTCGAAGCTTCATGGCTGTGTAAGCGTAGCTGTTGTCGGGATAGTTTTTCGCAATGTTGATGTCAAGCATGCAGGTTTAAAAGCTCCTGTATGACGGGCGCTCAGCGTCAGGCTCGTGGACATGCAGAAGCAGCTGGGCCTGTTCCTGACGCGGCCTGATCAACAGGTCAAGGAGGCTGCCCCGAAGCATTTCAGCCCTCAGCCGCTTGAAGCCTTGGGTTGGGTAGGCATCCTGTGGTTTTGGGGAAGAGATCTCAGGTCGTGAGAGTTTGAGTTCTGAGCTGGCAGCCCTCAAGTTTTACTGACGTTCGTCCAGCTTTCCCAGCAAGGTGTCGACATTCCCATCAGGTAGACTTGGAAAGTAAGAGATATGAACTCGAACGTGCGCTCCCAGCTGCCGTCGATTCCCGTGCAGTTTTATCCAAGTGTTGAACAAGGAAGGTCAGCCCGAGGCCTTGAGCCCAGCAGGTTGATGTGTTCCGACCGACGGCGAAGTCGGACCACGCCACCGACACTCAGCCCCAGGCAGTTGGTCAGGGATGTTTTTGAGGGGTTTATGGACGTCTTGATTGGAGGTTGTACAAGGGTCGACTGGGCGACAATTCAGAGAGCAACCAAGAGCGAGGAGCTGTAAGCCAAGTCACTTTCGAACGTCGTCAGCTGGCGGCCAAAGCTCATGTGAAAATAGGAGAAGCACCAGAATGCATAGGCTTGCACTCGGATGTGTCCCAAGATGCCCGACGGCTCTCCCCGAGCTCTGAAGATCCCATCAGGGGATGCTCAGCTTGGAGTTTGCCCTGAGGGACCGGGATCAGGCTAGAGCGCGGGCCCCGGGCCGTGGGTTGCAAGCACGTTTAGGGATGGCTGAAGAGTTTGAGCGGAAGTGTTTTTGAAAAAGTTCAAGGAGTGAAATCTGCAACGGTCAGTCAAACAAACAAAACAGACAATATGTCATTATACGCAGCAGTAACTAGAAAGAAACAAATCAATAGGCCATTATGTAGACACACACAGAGACATATGTATACATATATAAATATACAAGTATGCATACACGCACATATGTACATGTATACACAGACATGTATGTGTGCATTCTTGCACATGCATACGCACATATACACCGACCTGCGCTGATCCGGTAAGCTTTCTGTGCCAAGGCTGTCATGGGCCAGTCCGGCCACAAAAGCGCCCTGTGCATCGGTGACAAGGCGAGGAGCAGAGACATTCGGGGCTGGCCCAAAGCCCCAAACCGTTTCAGGAAGACAGGAGCAGCTGTGTTGCTGTGTGACTGGCACCCGTCTTCAGGCGAGTAGTGTGCTGAGCTTATCTTCGAATTATCAGAGCAACAGAGACCAGTAAAATCGGTCTGTAATCTGAAGCTCAGCAGGCTATGCTGGTGGTGGAGGAGCCCGACACTCAGGAAGACCCACATTTCCTTTTTCAAAAAGCAGCGGTGTTGATTGTTGATATACTTGACCTAGTGACCGTCAAGAGTCAGGGCTACTTCCCTCCTGCCCAAAGCAGCCTCGGTGCCTTAAGCCACGGGTGCCAAGGCCTTTCCTTTACCCGAAGGATGCGGCGGACTTCCGGAAGCAGTTCTGCGTTGGCGACTTTGTCAAAGGCAAGAAGGCAGGTCGGGCGGAGCTTCACGCCCTTGATGAAGGCTAGGCTTGCTTCAAGCAGTGCGCAGACCATTTTTTTCATGGGATTTCTCCCAGCTGCCGGGGTTTCTCCAAAGCAGGAAGTATAGCCAAAGCATGTCTTGATCTGAGTCAGCGGACTCCCACTGGAGGATGGACAACCGTGGCGTGTTGAACTCCGCGAACCGTGCCTGAGCAGCGAGTACGCCGAAAGCGGACTTGGCGACCTGGTCCTTCGGCTGCAACCTTGACTTGCCTTTGGACTTCACGCCTGGGATCTTTAGGATTGGGTTCCGAGCGCCCCGAAGGTCCAAAGCCCGAAGCCCGAGCCAAGTCTCGTCCACATTCTTGGCAGGTTCCGAAGCGGCCGTTCAAGCAGCCCCAACTGGCATGTTTTCTTGCGGAGCCTGCTCTTTCGGTTCTCACGTCGAGGCATGTCGGGTCAAAGCCCCAAGCCCACAAGCCCACCGAAGCTCCATGCGCTCAAGCAACGAGTCCTAGGGCACCATGCCAGGAGCTTCATCCCCACTTTCTGCGACGACATCATCCCCCACAAGTATGTGGGAGCCCATGGCCAGGGATGATGGGCTTCATACAAAGACCAACCTTTCCCAAACCAGTTCTGCAGCGACGGGCTTCAAGGTTTGGATCTGCAAGGCTGCAAGCTTCAAGTTGTGCAAGAGCAGAGCTTGTTTTCTTTTGTGAGCGTCTTCGACTACGAGGTAACGTGTGCGTGGGGTACGTTTTGGGTTGATGCAGGGTTCGAATCACTGAGTTTGTCTTTCAAACTTACGCAAGTTCTCGCAGTCGTCATGCTTTGCACACCGCAGCTTCTTCGCCAGCGCCTTATCACAACGTGCAGAGCCGACTCCAACCTTGGATTCCGACAAAGCCGCTCTCGAAAGCCTCAGCTCTGTGCTGCCTTGATCTCAGGTCATGCCCTTGTCGGAGAAAGAGTTCCTGGACGGCTGCCTGCCCTTTGAACTGTGCAGGGCCTTCGGAACCTCATCTGGCTCGGGGCTTTGTTTGGCTTTCATGGGCTGGTTGAATCTGCGTCCACAGGCCTGAATCCAAGCGCAAAGCCGCACAGCCCCGCGAGAGAAGCCTGAAGCCTTGAATCGCACAAGCCGGGTTTGCCACGAATTGTGAGAGCGGAGGAGCAGAGTGCAAGCTGCATTGCCGTTTGTCCAAGTCCTACTGCCCGGAGAATTTGGATCCCCTGCAATCGCACCATTATCGCACCGTTCCCCAAGGCCCAAAAATGACCCCTCGGAAGAGTCCTCCTTACCTTCAACCCTCGGCAGGACAAGCACAAGCCGGGTTTCTTCAATCGCATTCTGGATGACATGGCTTCGAAAGCAGCCGGGGGCCAAGGGCAGTTGCTCCAAGGCCCTTCAGTTCTTGGGTTTCAGGTCCAAGTTTTATGGATCGTGTGTGCTGGCTGGGCAGTCGGGTTCGTCAACTGCTTCAGCCAGAGCACCTTTCCGGATGTCAAGAGGACCCCAAAGTCTTACCGGACTTGGGTAGTGCTGCAGCTACTGCCCCGATGCAGAAAGTGCCACAACAATCAGCTGCTGCACCCACATGTGCCGAAGTTGACGGTCGTCGGGGACCGCATTCTGGCAATTGTCTACAAAGCGCTTACCACCTGATATTATAGCTGAAACGACAGGTGCACACTCTCTCCTGTACTCTTGAAGCAAAACTTGTCTGTGGCTGTGGATACCCCTGGCACAACCGCTGCTTATGCTCATCGATCTCCCTCATCCTCATCCGCATCCTCAGCTTTATCGTCTGGGTGATATTCATAGTCATCTTCATCCCCGCCGCAATCACCACTACAGTCAAGTCCACCCCATGCCCAGTCATCCGACCACACGCTGCCGTACCGGTCTGGCCCCAACAAGCCAGTCGCAGGGGCCCTGGCAAAGCGGTCACCTTGCGCTTGCTTTGGTCTTCGGCTGGAGGTTTTGGCAGTCTGGGATGGTTCAGGAGTTTACGGCAATGGGCAAAAATGGGCTGTAGGGATTCTTGGCGTTCAAGCTTTTGCAGACGAGGGCTTCCCGTAGCACGAGTTCAGAACCCCAACCGCACACTCCAGGTATCTCATCTCGAGCACATGAACCGACACGTGCCTGTGACGATCCTGGCTATGTATGCGGACAGTGGCAACGGTGCCACGTGTGATGTGGAGCCCCTCGACAGACCTTGTTGTAGCTTCATTGTGTTGAGTATGGCGCCCCAAACTCCAAACTCATTCGGGTGTAGTCGTGCTGTCGATGTGTTGTTGCGAGTGTAGGACGTTGGCACTGCGCGGCGCAAACATGGTTTCGGAGTTCCCTGACCTTAAAGTCGCTAAAACTGCTTGCGCTAAACCTAAGCGCGGCCGAAACCCTGCTGAAGCCTTATTGCTCCATGCACCCGAGGGTCACGGAGCTCTTTGTCAAAAAGTGGCGGGAGCAAAAGCATCGAAAGCTTCCGGGCTGCAGTGCTAGCAGGGGCTTTGAGGACGTTACAACAACAATTTGCGATTTGAATTGCATGGTAGAGGTATGAGGGCTTCTTTGTGGTTGGATCTCTTTGAAATTGTCACTAGAACGGAGACCGGCCGTTACAGTGGTGGCGCACAGGTGTGTCCTGGCTACAGGCCGTCTTCAATTCATGAATCGGTTCAACCTGGATGCAACAAGATCCAATATCCAAGCCTTGAGCCCAGCGGCGGAGGTTTGCTTTTCCTGGCAAGCTGGAGAAGCTGGATCGCAAAGGTAAGGGTGGGGAGGCGCTGCCCCCGCGGTTCATTCTCAAGCAGGTGCCAGCAATCCTGCTGAGCCTGGCTCTCGGCATACCAGAGGTCGAACACAGCGTGTGGAATGAATTTTAGCACGTTGGGTGCCACGGTTGCTTTCTGAGCTAGGGTGTAGGCAGGGGCTCTGGGCTTTGTAGATAACTCTCGCGGCAGCATAAAAGATCTCGAAATGGGGCGGGCTGCAATGGAGTTCGTGAGATCTAGTGTCGGCTATGAAGCTGTAGAAAAGATCTAGACACGTATCCTAAGTGCGGTACATGCTTTCAGCATCTGACGTCTGTTGCTCCGTGGAAGTTGCAGAAGACGAGAGCGAGGATAGCATGTCTCAATCGATGAACGGTTGCCGTGCCATTGAAGCAGCGGCCACACAGTTTGCAGGCCCGTACTGCGTCTGAACCTCAAGCCTGAAGCATGTGCTGCCTCTGTTATCTCAGATGCTGTCCACTATTCCGGCATCAACGTTTACGATGCTTTGTGAGGGGCCCGGCAGGTTCGTGCTCCAGGAACCGGTTTTCAGGTAGCTGATATGGTGACGGCGATGTGCAATAATATCATCAGGACGCACCTCCAAGCGGTGTCGTGTACTGCTATCACAGAAGGCTCAACGTGGCGGTAGAGGCTGGTTTGATTACGGCCATGGCGCCGAACCAAATAGGACATGACAGACGCAGGTTTCCCCTTCTCCACATTACTGACATGTGGCTCGCTTTTGGAGTGCTGATATGTGGGCTGGTCCTTACTTGTACATCCACGCCTGAGCCTGCGTTTGTCAAATGCCACGGCAGACTTGTGAACAGTTGGGGAGCGGAGCTTCTGGGCCTCTCGGGGATAAGGGCACCAAAGAACCCAAAGGCCTTCACCACCTAAACGTTAGCCCTTAGCTGCTAGCTGGCAGACCCAAACCCACAACTCTAAAGCTCGCAACCCTGAGGTTTAAGGCAACTTCGGATGTCATCCAAGCGCCGCCACCTGCCAACGAGTTCGATCCTCGCTCCTACGAGGCCGGGGGAGGAAACGAAATGAAAGGCGTCCCTTTGTCTTGCTCTTTCTATGGGTGCCCTTGTTGGAGCTGCCTTCTGATGCCGTGAAGGCTGCGCAGTTGGAGTCTCAGTTGCCGTTTCGGCGCGGGCCGCTCCATTCTGGGACCCGTTGATGCCTTGTGGTCCGGCGAAGCTGCAGGGCTCGGGTTGGAGACCCTAGTCACCCTAGTCGGATCTGCCAGACTGCGAGTGCCAAGTTCGTTTTGCCAAAGTCTGGCTCTTGTGGTCCTTATTCGCCGCTAACGGGACATCCGAAGTGACAGCTCCATAAACTCGGTTCGCGTGAAGAGTTGTGGACTCCGTGGACACTGTCGCTGGAGTTTGTCCTCTTGTTTGACTGAGGAAAGGTGCAAAGAAGAATTACTTGGAGTACGCGACTTAGATTTCCGCCTTGAACCGGGCGAAGCGACTGAGCTTTCCGGTGAGCTTTTCGAAGCATGGCACTCCGCACGGGGGCCCGACTTGCAGATGCTAGACTGCGGGCCCAGCCGCCAACGACTTTCCTCGAAGCTCGTCCAATCCCTTTGAGGTACAAGCTCGCAGCGGGCCCGCTTCCTCCCGATGCTAGCACGTCGGCCTGCACGTACGAGTTCAATGCCCCGGGCTGAAGTTGCTTCAAGTTCACAACACTTCCTGAGAGTGAGGGCGACAGGAGTCAAACTGACCAAGGTCCGTGTGCGCTTCCCCAGCGAGTCCGGACCCGAGCTTGAGTGGTGGCTCAGTTGACGGGCGCATATATATTTCTACAAACACACCAGAGACCTGGGTTGGATGCGTATGCAGATAGGACTCCTTGAGGCTGCACGACCGGAGCGTGTCCCGAACCCGCCCCGACCTCCAAAGCCCTCAAAGCTTCTCAAATCTCCGTCACGGCGTCAGGTACGAGATGTATCAGTTCGTCGCCATGGTGCGCAAGTGTGTGCGCGTGGACCACTACCAGCAGGAATCGGGGTTCTCGGGGTGTGGCCTGGTTATGCATGCGGATGCTGCTCTTGGCATGGCAGCGGCATTCCGATAGCCAGTTACGAGCAGATCGTTGTCCTATGAGTGCACATCCAGGCGGCAGGCTCGAGGCAGCGCTTTGTTGTGAGGCATCGAAAATGATCGAGTACCAGAAGCAAACTCAGATGCCTGTCTGCAGTAAGAGGCTTCGAGCATTCGGAGCCCGATTCCAGCCCACCATCCCAAAACACCCGAAGCCTCAAAAAGCCAAAAGGTGGGCCAGGCTGCAGGTTCCAAGCCGATTTGTTTTGTCGCTTGCCCGTTTGGGCCTACAGCGGGTCTAAGGATGACGACCCCTCAGCTCATGCGCCATCCCGGGCTGCAGAAAAGCGGCGGGCAATTGGACGCCTGAGGGCCCGGATGTCTCCAGGAATGGGCTGTGGGCTATTGGGTTTAGCAGTTGCAGGGGCTGAGCCCTAGGCCCTAAATCGAGTAGCTTTGATCTGTCCCCATAGACTGCGAAACCTTGAATATTGGGAGCGGTACTTCTGAGCAGTACAGGCTGGGCAGACTTGAGATGGCATTTGCTTTGAGAGTAGCTCTGCTGCAGGTATTGCAATAGCGGCCGCTGAGAATGGTAAGTCGAAGTGAGTATACAGCGCCTCTGATTGCGAGTTCAATACAAACCGTTGACACCAAAGAGGAACCAGTTTCAATAGAATGAATGTTTGAAGCAAAAAGTGCGACCGACGAGGCCTTCGACCCCGAGACTCAGGTTCCACCTTACGCCCCAAGATCCGAAAGACAAAGCGCCCAAACCGCTAAAGCCTTGAAAGCCTTGAGCCCCAAACCATGAAACCCTGAAGCTCGTCAAATGGCAAAGCCTGAAAGCCCTTGACATCGAAAGCCTGCGTCGAGGTGCTCCTGGTGGAAGCTCGCCGACTTCAGCCGCTGCAACATGATCGAACATCAAGGTTTGTTAAGTGTTTCCAAGCTTCTGTCGTAACGGGCTTATAAGGGTCACGTAAGGTTTTGGCCACTTTAGAACCTCCGCCACCGGAGTCAACAAGTTCCAACCTGGACGGCCAATCCCAGCAAAGGCAGTCGGCTCTTAACACGGTGCTTACCTCGGACCCCATCACTCTCTACGAGTCGCCAGAGCCCTAGACTGTGCGGATCCGGGATTGGTCTGGGACTCGTAGCGCCAAGGCCAGCGGACTACTCGTAGCATCTAGACGGCTTGTTGCTGCCACGCTTGTGTCCAGTGCTGCAATCGCTTTCCGTGATTTCTGCAATTCCGTTCTACCTGACATCTGCAACTCTACGTTCCGGACTTCAAGCGCCCAACTGCTGAGGTGGTCAAAGGGCCGTTCCGATGTGGACCCGTCGCAGTCGAATCAAATGGTGGATGCGAACTATCTGCCAGAGGCTTACTTCAATGGTTGATTTGGGACGGATCTTGGAGCTAGACCCTAAACCCTAAACCCTAAACCCTTAGCCATAGTTCGAGCCTGAAGCCCGTCCGCCAACCCGGAGCAGCTCCGTACATTGAGGCCGGAGCTCCTCGGTACCACGGATGGCCAGGCGCTACTGTACCCCCTGCTTCTGCTTTCCGAAGTGAGTGTTTTGTGCCCTTTCGCTTGACCGTGGCAAGTTCATGAGCCATGTTCGAGGCATCTTGTGGCCTTGCGTTGATGTATACATGCTCCAACATCTAGCAGCAGTCTCAACATCAAGCATTTGCCGAAGCTGGTTGGACAAGGGGTGTCATAGCCCACAGACAAGATGTGTGCGCGGTTCTGTCGGCGAAAGCTGAACGCGCTGCCTCAAACACCGTGTTGGGCTATCAAGCACTTGTCACCGACATGATGAAGCCTGCTCCTTGACACCTGCTGAGCCGCTCCCGATCCAGGCGGTGAAGGGCACACCGGAAGGAAGCTCGATTGGGACCTTCGTCAACTTCAGGATGCTCCACAACAAGGAGGCACCGCTGTGTAGGCTGTAGGGGAAGAACATCACCAACCCTGACACGTCTTGTGATTTTCGGCTCTCAGAGGGATTTGAGTAGCACCCTGCGCAAGATGAAATGAATCGCAGACCGCGCCCTCATACAGGTCATTCCATACCGTGGGACGAACAAGCAAGTGTCCCCGGCTCGACCCTCAAGCAGGGCGTGATTGTCGTTTGTATTGTGTGCAGTTGTATATGCAGCTGAAGAGGCAGAAGAACGTGGTGATGACGATGATGGTGATGATGTTGCTGCTGTTTTCGTCTTTGTCGTCCTCCTCGCCGTCCTCGTCCTCGTCCTCGTCGTCGTCGTGTTTTTTGTGGTTGTGGTTGTAGTCGGTGAGCCTTGTGAAACTGAAATGAGTTTTTTTTTCGTTCGGAGGTCGCATGACACTCGAGTTCTCTTTGACGGCACTGCCAAGGTCATCTCGGGTACCGACAGCCCAGTTTGGTCCAAGCTGCCTCAGCTGGAGAGTGTGGGAGGCAAGGCAGTGCTTGCTTTCCATCCGCTTCTCAAACGTGGCCTCAGTCCAGATCGCATGCCCTAGACCCCGTCTGGTTAGATCCAAGTCCCGGCAGAGAGTCCTTGCAGGCTGGACGTTCCGCACCGGCATTATCGATCCCGAGAAGTACCCGAAATTGCTGATTGAGTTCGAGGTCGGCAGAGTTGGAAATCCAACTCAATGTTGCTACATGCTGCGTTGCTTTTGCCACTCTGTGGCTCGGTCTCCTCATGGCAGCATTCCCATTGTCAGTGGCATTGCCATCATTCCTTCTGACGTCGTTACCGTCGTGATTGTTGCGGCCGTGGTCATGGTGGTGTTTGGTTTTACACGGCACTACACCAAATTTATGTTGAATGCAGAAACCACGGTTGCAGCTCCGAGCGCTTCAAGCCAGAGAGTTTTGTGAGAATGTTTCCGTTTCACCATCATCGCGGTGGCCCTTGAAAGTTCTAAACCCTTGACATCCGAAGCCTCAAGGCCAAGACGTACAAGCCGCCCCGCCCAAACTGCGAACCCCTAAAGCCCTGAAGCGTCAGGTGATGAAAGCAGGGATGTCTCCGAGTCGCATCGGCGTCATCCAGCTTCCGGTGACTGAAGAGCCGCACTGCCGAATTAGAGCTAAGGGTTGGGATTTGAGGCTCTTGAGCCTTCGGAGGTTTGGGCCTCGGGCTTTTTTGGCGGTAGGTATGGGTGTGGCCTTTGTCAGGGAAGTCTGCTGGGACTGTGGATGCGAGTTGGTCACTCGTTGCAGTGCAGGTGGTCTCCCTCAGTGCTATTGTTTAGGTGTTGGAACCTTCCAGCTAAGGGCATCTGGGACCTTTTCTCTGAGTTCATAGCCGGGCCAGGCAGTTCCTGACGAATCCCAACCAGATGTTCAAAAACCTTTGGCTCCCACTGGTCAGCGTGAAGGCCTGGGGCCGCCATGACTGGAAGGAATTGGGGATGACAGGGCTTGGGTGGGACGGGTGAGCAGAGAATCCGGCCTGAGAGACTGTGCTGCAGGTCACGGGCCATGGTTCAGAATGTGAAAGCACTTTGTTTTCCCACTGCCTTGCTGCATGGCGACAAGCACCGGAGTCTGAAACAAAATCCTCAAGCCCAGATGCGGCATGCAGAGGATGGCGAGCTTACACCCAACATCACGGGTGAGATCCACGTCCTCACTCGTTGGCTGCCGGTAGAGATGAAGCAGGTGCTTCCAAAGCATGTCCAAACCATGCAGTGCTCCGACACCAGTTCTCGTTCAAGTGCAGAGGGGACAGGGCAGACATGACCTCATGTTTCAAAAAACTGCAATTGCTACTAGTGTAAGTTGATACGTACACTGTATGCATACCACGCCATGTGTGTATAATTACTTAAATATTTCACAGGCGCCGCCCCCACGGGGGTCGGCGGATAAGTGATTACTTAAATATATGAGTATATATATATATACATATGTATGTAATATGTATGTAAAAAGACCGTCGCACACGCACACACTCCAATAGGCACAGGTAAAGTCCGCTTGCATCTGCATCGTCAGAGATGGAACGGCAATACTCATATTCGTCCCCAGAGGTAGCAGTTAGAGTTAGAGCTTGTATTCACTACCCTCGGTGTTCTTTGAGGTGTTCGCCGACGGTCAGGAGAAGATGCAGCTCTCGGTTCGGCCCATGCCTCTTTTCAACCTGTCACTTTAGGGCTCCTAAGGCTTCTTGTTGTCTGCTTCTTCTTCTAGTGGTTGTGGCCATGACTGCCCAATACTCTGACGACTTGTACTACTATTGGAGAGCCTAAAGTTTATGCCTCATTGTCTGCGTATGTTTTTGACGATCGTCCGGCGAAGAGAAGCCTGATGGTACTGACGACTGATGATGATAGTGATAATGATGACGATGATGATGATGATGACGATGACGGTGATGGTGCTGATCAGCGTATGGCTGTGATTGGGGCGGGGTGATGCTGACAAACATGGTGACGATGACGGCAGCAATGACTGCGATAATCAAGAAGAAGAAGATCATGTTTATGGCAAATGTGTCCATGAGTTTCGTGTCACGCATCGAGCAAGCAGAGACAGAGAATCATGAAAGCCGGCTTGATGAATTGAGGCAGAGCTGCTGAGTCAGCTCCTTTCTTGGGTCTAATCCGCTCTCGGGGCTTGCGCAGACTACGACAGAACTCCCCAATTCGATCCAATTGGACCTTGAGCTCGAATACTACGAAAGCTTGGAAGCCCTGCATAAGTCCAAGGTCTATGTTCTTAAAGGACATCTGGAGCAAGGCAGGGAAGGATGGATGATTACAGTCGAGTATCGATAGCAGCCGCAGCAGCAGGAGTAGTAGTAGGAGTAGTAGTAGTAGTAGTAGTAGTAGCAGCAGCAGCAGCAGCAGTAGTAGTAGTAGTAGTAGCAGCCGGAGTCACGGTAGTGACAGTAGTAACAGTATTAACAATCGTAACGGAAGCAACAGTAGGTTACGGTAGGTAACAGTAGGTAAGTAGTAACAGTAGTAACAGTAGCAGTAGTAGTAGTCGTCGTCGTAGTAGTAGTAGTAGCCGCAGCAGCAGCATTAGCAGCTGTAGTAGGACTGGAACTAGTATCTAAGTAGCATCAGCACATAGAAGTAATGCAGTTCGTTCATGCTAGCACCCCTGTCAAGCCTGGTGCAATACTCAGCTCATGGATATTGCATGACCTTAGCTATACAAGTAACCTGTTTGGTCTTGGCAATCATGCTGACAAGCGTGGAAATAGATAGTCACAAAGGCAGAACAGTAGTCGTGAGATTCGCCATCAACACCAGCACCACCAATACAGTCACCGTGTGCACAATCTCACCCCGACTATGCCGCCGGTCATCAGTGTCAACATCAACACCAGCATCAACAACATCATCATCATCACCATCACCATCAGCCATCATCACCATCATCATCGTCATCATCATCATCATCATCATCGTTGTTGTTCATTTTCGCGGCTCATGGCTTTTGAGATGTTCATGTTTGTTTTACAACAGCAGCAACAGTCTGAAGACTACTAGCAGGGAAGATAGCAATAGGCATAGACATGTAAGTCGACACGCATGTTGCAATCTGTGTTGCTAGTGGCTTTCGGGCTACTTACGATCCCAGTCGCACGACAAAGTGCGAGACACGAATAGTTCTCATCGCAAAGTGAGTCAGTGTGGACAGCTCATCCTCTACTGTTGATGGCAGGTCTGCCAGCCGAGAATTCGCGAGCCGATTTACGGTGTGGAAGCCATGTACCACGCTTTCACCTACAATCCGAACCTCGTCCGGCTGAGGGACAAGGAGGCAAGACTGTGCTTTCATCATGATGCTGGATTCCTGGGCACTGCTAGCGGGCGGCATGGACTCATGCCAACAAGCTCCTTTCTCATGAGAAGTGATGGCTGCCGCCTGCTTGCCCTGCATTCTACATCTGCGTGAATGCAGGGCACGAAGTCTCCGGAGACTTTGAAGGACAACGCTCGAAGACACGTCGAGGACTCTAATCATGTCGTTTGTGTTTTGTCCGAGTGCTGGGGCTGCTGGGGCCCCAGACCATGAACCCTATGCCCTATGTATGGCTCAGCAAGCTCATGCCCTGATGTACGGTTCTGCTGCAGAGATTTTTCGCGAGACGACCCTGTGACGTTCAGTGCACGGGTCTGCCGTTTGACTTTGACAAAGGGCACTACATCCGCAGATTGAGAAAGTTAGCTTTGCTTCGATGATATTGGGTCAGGTCTTTGTGGCCCCAACCCCGTTCCTAGTCTCTCCACACTATGCCGTATATCGGATATATCGTGTCTGAAACCGCGCAGGAGTTGTCGAACTGCGTGCCTTACCTGGAGTGCCTGGAGAGGCGTCAGCTCAATGCCTGGAACATTTTCCAGGCTGGCAGTGACAATTCCACGAATCCCAGAGAAGAGATGAAGCCGACATCAACCAGGGTGATGGTGATGCCGTTGAGAATGATGGTGATGATCAGGGTGATGCTGATGAGCAGATGAAACGCACATGACACCAATGCTAACTTGATTGTACGCCACCGAAGGATCTCAAGGGACAAATGCGTTTAGCTTGGGGTTAGGCTTCGATTTTGTGGTCCAAGGGTTTCAGAGCGAACAAGCAGTAGCCCCGAACGTACTATGTCGTA